TGAGTTTACTCTTCTGTATCAAGCCTCCTTATTTCAAGGAAGTGCTTTTCTTTTTTCATCCTTGTGTGAGGAAGAAGGAAAGCTTTGTGCCTCTATAATTACAAAAGATAGGTACATACTCAGTTCTTGCTAATTGCTCTGCTCCACCGCTACCTTACGTTCAATGCTTTCACTGTATCGCTGCTTTTGTAGTCCTTCTTGTCTGTTCTCTCTCCTCTGCCAGCACTCTCCAAAGAGCTGTTATCATTTTCAAGTGTAAACAAATGAAGGGAAAGGCATGTCAAGAACAGATGCACTCCTGGCTATAGGAGGAACTTCCTTATGTAGCCATCTGCCCCGGCCACTGCGAGGAACGTTCTTCCTCTGTGTGTAGAAACTGGTCATTTGGAGGAAACTCTTTTTTTCCCCCCTGTGTTTATTATAGACAAAGGAAGTGGCAGTGTGAGATGAAAATCAACTGTCTCCCTTAAAAGGAAATGGATTATAACTATATATTTGAGTTTTATGGTTGTGCCTTGAACTTTTTAAAGAGGTTTTCAGTGTAATAAGGCATCATAATAAGCATGACAAACTTGAACTTGCTTGATTGCACAATTACATAAATTTACTGGCCAAATTGAAAAGTTTTTGCTAAACTTTTAGCTTTGTCTTTTTTCACAACAAAAAAGATGAAATATGCATGCACCAAACCTTTTTTAGAGAGAGCTTGCCATTTTTTACAGACATCATTAATCTGTTATCACTTTCTAGGTGAGTGAAAAGGAACTAGTTTTTATTTAAGGTTTGAGAGCCAGTAGATGAAGAAGTACAGACTCCGTCTGCTGTTGCTGGTTGCAGACTTCAACCCCTAGCAATCAGGTGGAGGGAAATGGGTTGCCTAACAAATGAAGGAATGGATTGGATCTTTAAAAATGGGGCTGAACAAACATGCTAAGAACTTGAAGGAGGTCGCAGACTTTCATTGTTATTGCCCGTGGGTTTCACTTCATCTCCCTCTGTCCATGTTCTTCTATTCTGTAGCTAGTCAGCTCATTTCTTGCAAGCTTAGCTGACTACAGTAATTATGCAGCTGTTTGTTCTCAGTTTATGACATTACAACTTCTTTTTCTACAACCATGGACAGTTTGCTTGAAGGATGTTTTGTAATTCTCTAGTTTAATAGGCATAGAAATATTTTATTTTAAATTTTGTCCTTAATGTATCTTTATAAAGACACTTCTGGTGTATTTTTAGAGATTTTAAAGTAATTTTGAGTATATTCGATGAAAAATCTCTATCTGGAATATAGCAAGTGCTAAAGAATGTGAAAATAAGACATAGGAGGTATATCAAACTTTCCTTTGATGGGTTTAGGTATTCCATTCTGAAATGAAAGAGGCTCTAAATGAAACTCCAATGAAAAAGAAAGTGTTTTTGTGGCAAAATAACCCATACTTCACCTATTTCTGAAAGAGAAGGAAGGAAAATATAATCAAACTTTCAGTTGAAGCTTGTTGAAGAGTTGTTAATATAACTTCACAGACTGCAAAGGTAATTGAGTTCAACCTCTCAGCTTCTTGGGAAAGAACCTCAAGTGCTGAACAGACCATTTTTGTAGTATTTGCTCTAATGTCCTCTTTGCAACCATATAGTGAAGGACATGTTCCCTTCAGATATTACTCATTGAGCCTATCTCTTTGCTTTCTGTTTGTCTTACCAATGGGGAGCAATTTTCAGAGCAAGCAGTTTTCAGAGGCAGCCCCAGAATTTGCTGCTTGAACACAGTGTTGCTGGAGCAGCCAGCAGAGAGCCTCAAGAATGAGATCCCTGCTCCCATGGCCCTTCCCTCTGGCTGCTGTTTGTTCATCACCTTTGCCATCCCTCCTGCCCAGGTCCAGTGATTTAGCAATGTGGTAGCAAGGCTGAACTGCATTGTTTCTCAGAACCTTGGGTCTGCTTCTCAGATATAATGCCTAGCTAAAAATCAACATGATTTTTGTCTTGGGAGTGGCTTAGATAATGTGAAATACAGCAATGGAAAGATATAGAACCCAACCACTTCCAGTTTTTTTGAATTATTGTTGAAATAAATAGTAGTTTTTCATTTGATCCTAGGTCTTATTTTGTATTTTACTCATAAGGAAAATATTTACAAGAGGGTGGTGGTGTTTCATGTGTAGAAACTGGAGACAAAACAAATATTGAACAATTGCTAATTTGTATTCTTTCTGTGTGGTGAATGACACATTAGATGTGTGGAAGTAATAGCGAGCAATAATGTTGTTAGAGACCTGGATTATAATGCATGCTTTAAAAAGAGGAGTAGGACATTTCACAGGCAGTATTAATTTTAGCACTAACTAAATTTGAAGTGTTTGGATTTAATTTCTGTTACACCTTGTGAGTAATTGCATGAGCGATTGGTGACCATATTTATAGGCCTGAATTTTGTTTGAGTTTAAAGCTAGAGAGGATCTGTCTTTTTTTCATCTTGGTATTGAAATATATCTGCTCCTTAGCTCTTCTAATACTCACTGTGAATGCTTTGCCAGTTTAATGCAACGTTCACCATCTTAACTTTTTATCTATTTAAACAACTACTTAGCCCTTTATAGGTGAACATCCAAGCCTGTTATCTCTCAGAAGCAGAACCCCCTAAGTGTTAATTGTACTCAATTAAAAATATTCTTTTTAGTTTTTCCTTTAGGCATTTTCCTGACTTTGTTTAATCAGAAACTAGAGACTCATAAATCTAGTAATTTTTGTACTGTAAGAATCCACAGGGAAAACCAACAATCAATCAGGACCAGTTTCACAAGGACAAGAGGCAGTTTCATGCCTTGTGAAGATTTTTTTAGATTATGTCTTTTTTTCCTTCTTTCTCTTCTATTCAACCTTATAACAAATAGAAATAAACCACTAACTTTGCTGGAATTCAACACTCAAATCTTGCATACGAGCAGCCTGAGTTTATCTGTATATACACGTGTGCATGTTAGAGAGTGTGTCTGTTGATAGAACAACTTTTAAAAGAAATAAAAGGCTTCTGAAAGAGAAGTAGAAAAAAAACCCACCTTAAAGTGTCAAGTAATTAATCAATAGTGTCAGTACTAGACCATGTAGTGAACACAGATTAATTTGCTAATAATTATAAATAAAAATGCTTTTAATCCAGAAGGCACAAATGTCATGCACTTAACAAAGTAATTTATTTTGTTCAAGGTGACCAATTACTGTATTACTGCTCTTAATATGTAAAATTATTTGTTCCGGAACTGAAATAAGAATGGAATTTCTTTGATAAATTTGTCCCAAAACTGTGTGTAAGAATGTTTTTTGGTTTCTTTTGAAAAAAGTAAGAAGCAGCTTAAATGTGAGGCCATGCAACTAATTTGTTTTTGTGTTAAATCTACTGGTCTAATAGAAAACTGATTCAAAATACCATAATAATAATTTTCCTTGGAGTAGTTGCAGTCTAGAAAAATTTTTAAAGTAAACAAAATTCAGGTTCTAGAAAATCTAGATAAAGTTATTACTATCCTGACAATTATACCCCTTGCCACCTGCAAGACATCTGGCAGTAGTTAAGAATCTTGGTGCCATGCCAGAAAGTATCCGGGATGCTATTCTCTCAGCGCTCACGTTACTGTGAGTACCAGCTGAACGTAACTTCTGTTGATACTAGAAGTGATTCACTATCTAATCTGTTAGTTGAGAGACTGTTTCAAAAGTGAGGCCACATCATGCTGATGGACAGTATAGAACAAAAAAGGATATATTCTTCCATTCTGCTAAGTCCTAACCAAAGATAGAAAGCAAACAATGTAGACAGTAGTTACTTCTTTAGCTATCTGTCCTACTCTTTTCTTCCCCAAAGTCTACTGGTTTAATTCAAAAAGCTTTCCTCAGAATCTGGGATTAGAAACTAGAGATGGAAAAAATCTAACCTCTTTGCAGTTCAAAAAGCTATCAGCAGATTAAAGCATAGTGGAAGAAAATTGCTGTAGGTTAGGGAAGCTACAAATAAATATAACAACCCTTCTACCTAAAAGATACAGCCACTGTTTTGGGTGTGTGTTTTGGTTTTTTTGGGTGGTTTTTTTTTTTTTTTTTAATACTTTTAGATGTATGAAGAGGGATATCTGCCCCTGGATAATAAGGTCTGAGTCTGCACTCTGAAATCACTGATTTTGAAGGATTTTTAAATCTGTGTCATTTTAATACATTTGCATTTTTTTTTTCAGTCTCCTAAAACTTTAGGAACTGTAATGCTTTGAGTATTCATTTAAGCATAATACTGTGAATTCATGTCAGTGATGTCCAGACCACTTACTTCTCAGAAATTTGTGGTTGGTGTAATCTATAATTCATAAGAATGCTTGTCTTAAAAGCTTTAATTAAAGCTCATGGACTAGGAAACTAACTGATGACTGGGAGGGTTTGATATATTTTTTGATACCTCTTCACATACCTCTTGAATTATTAAATTTGTTCAGAGCAGAAAGAAGACAGTAAAAAACTGATGTAGGTGCTTAGTCATACAGTGAATAATCTTGTGAAGCTGCTCAACAAGGACTGATTAAGGTAATGTGTGAAGTGTTAGGTGGTTAATTTTATTGTGCATTTAAAACAGATCTGCATATTACAAGTCAAGAAAAGACAACAGCCTAAATGTGAAGGACTCTTGCAAACAGCTCCACCGTACTCCATCCCCTTTGAAATGTCTCACAGTTTACCATTTTTCTCAATGAGTAAATGAATTTTCTGGTTTTCAAGGAAGTCAAAACTGTTACGTTTAGCATCTGTTTTGTTAAAGCCATATGGATACACCTGATGTCTATGAATTAATCCTAATTTCAGACAAAATAATTTTCCCACTGATTTGTTAATAACATGCAGAGTTGTTACATCTCTCAAATACGAGTCAGCATATTTTTCTTTCTTACCTTATTTTTATTTTCAATATTTATTTTCAAGTTACTTTTTGTAGTAAGCTCTCTTTTTTTTTTTTTCTTATGCAGAGGATTACTACTTCAGGAAAACAGCAGGTTTTCAGAGGCATTACATTACTATAAACTGGCAATTGGTAGCAGACCCACACTAGCTTGTAAGTATTCCAACTATACAAGCTTGCAAAATATTAACTATTGGTTTTTAAGGAAATCTTCTATCCTTTAATAACACTTTCTTTTTTTCATTTGGAAAGCAGAAGGTGAAATTGTGCACTTTTCAGTTGAAATCAAGTGTTTATTATTCAACAACTACATTTAATGTGGTGCATGGAAGAAGCAGATGATGATTTAACATTGAGCAGCACTGGTAGAACCTAAAATGCTTCTGATCAGGAGTTCTGAGCCATAAATACTACTGCCCAAACTTTCATGCTCCTGTTTTCTGTTTCTGACAGACAGTTCCTGATTTTTCTGGTATGTGGTGTGTGGATGAATAATACAATTGTTTAAGTACTTTAATTTTTCCTTTCTTGCCTGGGGGAAAAAGGTAAATAATCCATAGGATGTTGTCAGTCATCGGTTCCAAAATGACATTGGTGTGTTTTAAGATTGCTGACTTTTTTGTAGCTACACATAGACATATATAAGCTCATGTGTATTTGTTTTTGTAACATTTCAAACAATGACACTGTATGCTTGATACAGTTCTATTAGGCAGAACGAAATGGAGCAATAAGAGGAACTAACTGGAGCACACTGGCTAAACAGTGTTCCCTTACCTCTTTCCTCAGTCTTCGTAGCCGCTTTATCCATTTCTTGTCCCTGAACTTCTACCCCTTATATGTTCCTCTTTACAGCCATGATTGACCTAGATTATAGAAAAGCCAAATTAGATAACTATGGGATTGCTTTCAGATATTACTTTGAAGTAAAACAAAGATTAGGTAAAGCATCATGGAAACCCATTAAAAGATAACAATTTTTCCCCCTTCACAGCTGCCTATTTAAATACTGGCATCATCCTGATGAACCAAGGGAAGACAGAGGAAGCCAGGAGGACTTTCCTGAAGTGTTCAGAGATCCCTGATGAAAATTTGAAAGATCCTCATGCTCATAAAAGTTCTGTTACTAGCTGTCTTTATAACTTAGGAAAACTTTTTCATGAACAAGGGCACTATGAGGTAAGACTTAAGATTTGTCTACAATATCATGATAAAACTTCATACATAAATGATACCTATTGCTTCCATCCAGACTTTCAAAATACATGGCAGGTACAAATTGGTTGTATTTCACCAAATCAAGATTACTGTTTTCTACAGAGAATTTATTCTCTACCACCACAGGTGTGATAATGTTAACTAGCACTGTGACGTTCTGGTGTCAGAATCAACATTAGCAATGGCCACATCTGATATGTGTTAAGTCATGGGTTTTGGCTTTGTTGCCATGATTGGTATGCAAACGATATAGCCTGATTACAGATCAGACCTGAAGTGTACTGGCTTTTTAATTCAAATTAGAGTTAGTCTGTCTTTAGTTGAAAAAATGCAATTATGTTTGCTTTGGAGTCTCATGAAATTGGACCTAGTTGGAACAATTCAACACTTCAGTGTTTAAAAATATCCCTTTATGTTCTATTTTCAAATAACTTGACCGAAGTGCTAAAGGGGGTTGGGTGTTTTTAGTGTAAGTGTACACTACACCCTACCTATTCCATCTCATTTACATGTGCAAATGGACCTGTTGTGATTTCTCTTCATTCTCCCTGATGAAATTAATAAAACTGGACACTCACTTGAGTTTTGTCCTTTAGCAGTATTTGAAGGCAAGTCATTCTATCTTTGCATTGCCAGGCATACTTCAGAACAGGAGTTACGCATGGTTTTGATCCATATAATTCTTCCTGACCGTGACACTTAGATCAGCTGTTTAAGATTAGGCATGCACAGGCACTATGGATTCTCTATCATCTGTCTGCTGAATCCAGCTCTGTCAGATGCAGTTACTAATTGGTTAAAACACAGACACAGGCAGCTAATACATCTGTAAAGATAAGAGGACAGCAGCATGTTGTTTGCATGGCTGATAGAGTGTAGAGTTGGAGTTCAATGCCTGGGAGGTGCAAAGGATTTTAAGACTATAAACCATCAGTTTTCTGCCTGGTGGTCATTGCAGACTGACCCAGCCTTGATTTGATCATACACTCTGATTTTTTTCAAGCATATTTCAGCCTTCACAAGCTGCTATTATTCAGTGGGATAATGTATAAAGTGATGCTGAGCTAACAGACTAAGCATCCCAAGTGCGGAATGAGTCGTGTGTGATCAAGTAATTCAAGGCACACCACATTTGCACAGGGAATCTAATTTTGGCATTCTTGACACTCTAGTCCATCTCATTCTTTCTGTGGAGCAGACTTCAGTTGTGAGGATTATATTTTGTTATTATGTGGCAGCAGACAATGATTTCTTTATTTTTAGGTCATTAAATGTAGCTTAGTCATCATAAAGTCCTTTTTCTGCAGTTTGATACTATTCCATATTTTCTGACAGCCTATAGAATTTTATATATGTTTATAAATTCATGAGTCACTGAGCAGGTTAACAAAATGTTCCTTTTATTTTCACATAGAAAAGGAGTTGCAATATTGGAAATAATTTTATCTGTTGTGAAAAAACTTCACTGAATTTGGTAAAAATTATGGAAATAAGAAATGTGAACTTTGTGATATTTATGACACAGATGCTTTTTCTTTCTCTCTGTGCCTTTAATGTGCGGGGAAGGAACATAGTTTAGCTTTACTTTATATGTGAAAGACTGCGTTTGAAATTGGTACTTTATAATGTTTTGTCCAACTTGTGTGTTTCTTTTCAGGATGCCCTTGTGGTTTACAAAGAAGCAATACAGAAAATGCCAAGGCAGTTTGCACCACAGAGCTTATACAACATGATGGGTAGGTGTGTTTTTAGTGCTTCAGAAAGATACTTGAGGAGTCAGGCAGAGTGAAGCAAAAGGGCTTAGCTCACATTAATTACCTAATAAAACCAAAACTAATTGCCTTCAGTAGATACAATCCAAACCAGGTTCAGAGCTGAAATGCCCGCAACTGCAACACTGTATAAGGCACAATAAATTATGAAACTGTTAGATATGGGATATCTTCTAGAGTGTCTATGCAATACTTGTACATTTAGAATGCAGGCTGTTTTTCTCTGCCTCCATAATCTCTCATCCACTATCTTGGAGACCTCATATGCAATTCATCCAGACTTTTTTAATCTCCCATTTAGTAATCTTTGAAACTAAGAAGGAATTGTATTTATTTCACAGAAAATGGAGTGAGGTTGATTGTAACATAAAATTTAGCGTGGGTGTTGAGTGTCAAATTTCCTTGTAAATCAACAAGATGTCTAAACAGGCTTACAGAGATAGCTGGATTTTTTGCAAGTTTTGCCAAAAATTTATGTCCCAGATGATTTACTGTTTGTTAGACATGTACAGTGAGAGAAGTCTTCCAGGACCAGCATACCTGTCCTTCAGAGTTTTAGCAGAGTCCTTTGAGTACTGCAAGAAACATTAATTTATCTGAGGTGGGGGTTTTTTTGTTTGTTTTAAACTTTAACTTCAGCTACTCATGTTCTTCATCTAATCTTCCTACAGGATACATTAAACATAGAAAAAAGGAGATAATATGAATTATTATTTATAGTATTCAGATCTGTAAACAAGAGGGCAGGTTCTTCATTGTTCCACAGATGCTTTCAAGTGAGATTCTCTCTGAAAGGCCATGTGTTTCTGCTAAGCAACCTTAGTGTTTGGCTTAGTAGACTGAGCTCTTATCTGGGACAGAAAATGATGTAAGATGCCTTTAAAGTAGTTTGAAGTAGAGCAATTAAAAAAATATATGTAGAAACAATTAAGTTCAACAGGAAGCATGTAGGGTTTTGTGATTCCCTGTTTCCTCACCCCCCACAGCTCGCGCCAACCCCACCCCCCACCAGTGCCTAAACTACATGGGAATGTATTGGTTGATACCAGCTGGTTTGACACAGTTGTTGAAAGGAGACACAACTCACTCTTCTCTACTTATTTAAGAAAGGCAACTTTTATTAGGTTGCTAAAAGTATTTAGGCATTAAAAAAAATACTTTAAAATTGTAGATATAACTGATGCTACATGTTTGCAAATCTCTGTAAATGCTAAATTGAGTACTACTATTGTTACAGCGACAAAGTATCTAATGTCAATAATAGTACAAACAATTTCTTAACATTTCATACAATTCAATGGAGAGTTACTTCTCCCTGAGAATCTGATCTTTATCAGATTACTGCAAATGGCTATAATCCCTAAAATGCACAAGATGATTATTGCACGGACTTCTGTTCATGAGGAGTCTGAGCTGAACTGTTTTTTTGTCAGTTTGATTTATCAGCATTTGCTGATAAATTTGTTGGTTTATCAACAGTCACTACACTGTGAATTAAGCTTCTGCTTGCTATCGATGCCCTACAGTGATTGCTGTACCCCAGTGCTCCAGCAAACCCTCTGAAGTTTGACTTCACTCTTCACTGCAGTTATGTATTTCAGAATTCTGATAAAAGTGCTCCTCAGAAGTACAGAAATTGAAAAAAGTAAACCAGAGCTGCTGCTGGCATGATGGTTCTGTCACAACGCAGGCCTGTGCCACCCTTTTTCTTTTGTGGTGAATAGATGTTCCCTTCAGAAACACTATAACTTGTAAGATTCTTCAGGTTTTTACTTTTTTTTTTTTCTCCCCATTGGTTACTTATTTAGGTTCAGGAGGCCTTTCTCAGCTTCCTTTATTAGCACAGTCCATGATGTCCAAGTTCACACTGTTCCTGGGATTTGCATTTATTAACTCACAAAGCGATAGTGAGCACAAAGACCAGTTCAGTCCTTTGCCCAGGCTTGGCTGCTTCCCTCCACTGCTTAGCTCATACTCTGGCTTCTGTTTCCTTAATCAGCTGCCGGCACGTCATGGATGTCCTAGTGGCATAACAAGTTAGGGTCAACTAAGATTACCTTAGCCCCTTCCAGCCTGTTGCAAAGAGCAACAAGCTATTATGGAGCTCTGTAAAGTACAACTTACCATTATCTTTATAAAATTTTCAGGCCAGGTACAACATTGAAATAGTTTAATTAGTTCTGTTTAGTCGTTGATAACAGCTAATACAGGACCCGTTAGCTTTATTTTTCCATGACTACATTTCATCCAAGAGGCTACATAAAGAGTTGGGTGGTGGCTTGAATTGAGTGCAGCGCAGCTGTATTAACAGCAGGACTCAGACTGATTTGTTTAAAGCTCTCCTGGATGTGTCTACGTGAGCGTACATGACTGCCGTTAGCTTTGTTAGATTCTCCTACCTGTAATACTGTAGAGGTTAGATGACAGGACAGAGCTAGGTAGGTATGCTTACTTTATAGTGTGGGAAGAAAAATATACCTCTGGGGAGTAATTAAGCTTAGACATCTATTTTAGATTATACAAATAAACCCCTGCAAGCATACTTCTGTAAAAGGAGCTGAGATGACTAGCTTAGACTTGCTAGCTTAAGTTGGGTAAGATAAATCCTAAACACCTATTCAGTCATCTCTTTGCATCCGGTGTGACAGGAGAACAAGGCAACCGCATCCAGTGTCAGCAGTGTATCCACGCTGCAGCTCATGCAGTCTCATTGGGCATCCGAAGAACGACCCTATTGTTTGTTTCTGGTTTGATGTTCAAGATAAAGTTATAAACACATTCACTGTGACACTTTCTTTGATAAACAGCATTACATAAACTTGTCTGCTTACTTCTTGCCTTTAAAAGGGAGGCTAGGGGAACTGAAATAGGCCAGTCCTCTCTCATGTGCTTGGAATTGCATGGACTTCTGAGGTGTGCTCACTCACCGTGTGTTCATTGCTGGGGAGGAAGGGGGAGAAACTGGGGAGCACTCCCATTCTGCTTGGGAAGGAAGGGTCCTTCCCTGTTTCTTTAAGTGTTGAAAAAGTCTTCAAGGCTTATCATGAAATCCAAAAATAGGTAAAGTCTGAGGATTTTCTGCTGCAGTTGTCATTGCGATTGATGTATTTTGAGTCTCTCGCAATCTCTCTGCTTGGTTCAGTGTTAGATATTGGCATGTGATGTAAGAACAGTGCTTACTCTACATTTTAATAATTATTCAATCATTTCATTGAAAATTTTCCTGAGACTTTTTTCCCAATATGATCTACATGACATACTTGAAAGCGAATAAACGGGAGACGAGCTGTTTAAACTGAATTAGGGTTTGAACTCCAGCACTCCAAGTGCAGTAGCATTAACGCTCCAACAGTGTTAAGCCTTTACACCACCTGCTTTCCCTGTTTGCATTTCACTTCTTTTCCTGTGCTTGCTTCTATTGGCCTTTCTTTTTGACAGACCCAGTGACTCATTCCTCCGGAGTGCCAGTCTTGCCTGGCTGACTCTCATCCTTTAAAACTCTCTGAGTAACTTGCCCCTTAAAGGAAGAAGTAGTATTGGGTCTCAAGAAGCTAGCTATCCATTTGACTTTGCATTTTGTTCATGGCACAAAAGACAGGGCCAGAGACCAGCATCAGATGTTCCAAGTTTGTGCATATGAAATGTTGCAGGGTTGATTTTGGTCTCCTGTTGCTGTGATTTATTTTGCCAGGTGTGCAACAACTCAGCTAAGGAAACCATATGTTTCTCTGGCTTTCTACCAAAAAGTAAAACCTTTTCTTTTTCTTTTTTTTTTCTTAAAAGAACCCCCAACAGCTAAAAATTAAAACTCTAAAACTAGAATAAAAATAATTATTCAACAAGTTGTATAGGGTTGGCTTGCTATTTATTTTCTCTGTGTCATATTTCTTTGATGTAAATTAAAAAGTACATGCTAAGGTTACACAGATTAATTTGCTTGGCATGGCAACATGCACTACAAAGGCCAGAGTCCAGCTCAGCTGCATTAAATAGGTAATATATTTTGTTTAAAGTTTCAATTAAAACCTGGGGTCAAAAGATAAAATGGTCCCTGTGGGATCTTGAACACTTTAATGCCAATATTAGGATTGCTTAAGGATAAGCCTCTGCTCTAGATGTCTTTTGCGTTCCTTGAAATCTGATATTGTACAGTTGATTGTATTACATTGCTTTTAAAACCACACTGGCCCACCTGCTACAGTAATTCATACTTCTGCCAGTTAAGTGGTGTGAGGTGGACCATGGAGGCTTTATTTTATTACTGAACAGTAACAAGAAAGATGTTGGGGTGGCATTGTTAAGGTTTAGATTGGCAAGATACTGCCATGAAGACAAATGTCTTGATCACTCTTTATCTGCCCTTGCCAACTAACGTCTGGATGTCTATTCTCAAATACATTTAATGCAAAGCCTTACAAACATTTTTGATGATAAATGCAAGTTACAAAAGGAGCTAACGTTACAGGAGTGAATACAGCTAATGATGCACAGATTAGGGTTTAGCTTTCTCCTTGCTAATCTGCTACATTGCACATGGACAGAAAACAAATCAGACACAAGTCGCAGCCAGGTACAGGACAGGACAGGAGAGCCAGATTTTACATCTGGTGCAGAGGTTTGCATCATAAGTACAAAGGCTTAGCATGCAGAGAGACTTTCTGTGTTGATGATTATAACACAACTGTCGCTTTATTTGATTATGCTTTTGGGTGGATGTGGCTGTTTGTACAAACCTGTTAATATTGTTAAGGCTCCTATCCCATTTGCCCTGTGCTCCCATTAAATGCTTTTTTATTGAATTACTTTAAAATGTTGTTTAGAACTCCAAGAAACACTTCTGCTGGTATAGTCTTACAGCTCATGCTGTGCAATACTTACTTTTTAAGAGTCAAAAATGATTAAGCTGTGAAATACATATCCCACATCATAATTTACGCAGAGCATGGTACCTGCACTTGTCTGGG